GGAGTTAGCACCTTCTTAGGAATTGGATTCAGCCTTTCACACTGTCACTGGGTCATTTACCACTTGGACAGGGGAGCTGGCAATTAATATTGGTGAATCTGGAACATCCCCCAGTTCCTTCTGCAGAGTGATAAAGAAGACCGCATCCTAGGGGTGAGGTGGGGATCACCTAGAGCAGCGATTCTGAACCAGGGGTACATGAAGCCTCATCAGGGGGTACTTGAGCTATATTTCATACACTGTCTAACACAGGTCAAAGGGCCTAAAAAATTAATTTCCCATTGAAAGGGGGTACGTGAAGTCTCACTCTGAGACAAAGGGGTACGTCGACTGAAAGGTTCGGAACCGCTGACCTAGAGCATAGATTTGAACGAGGGTGCTAGAGCCCGCAAATGGTGGACAATGCACAGCCCTTCCCAACAGCCATGAGGAGTATGAAAGTGATGGCCATTCTACAGAAACCAGGAAGAGATCCCTTTTGTGCATACACGTGAAAGGCAGAATTGTGGTCTGGTCCAAGGATATCTGGCACTAACTTAGGCGTCGTGTACAATGGATAGTTCAGTCACTTTACTGAGTCCTTCAGTCAGCTGAGATGTGCCTTCTGTTCACACTCACCAATGGTCCTGTCAGGGAGGCTACAATCAGTTGCAGTTATACCACTGTGATAAGCTGACAGCTGGTGTGGCTTTGCCACCATGGCACAAGTGGTGTGGTTGTCGGACAGCTATCAGTTTTGACAGCTCCATCAGTTTGCAGGCTGAGGAGCACTTCCAGTGAGGGTCTTTTCCATGCCCCCTGCCATGCTTTTCAAATTTCACCTCCTCAGAAATGTTCTGCCACCTCCATCATTCCCAGAATTGCTTCCCCTAATTCTTGCTCTGTAGTTTTTCCATCCAGGTTTGGATTCAATTTGGAAATAAGTCATGTTGCTCCTCCCTAAATGTAAATTTAACTCCCTGCAGTGACGCTGCCCTCTGGTCATGCTCCCTCACACCTGCTATTCCTCCAGTTTAGCAAATCTCCTGCTCTAATGACTGAACTTCTTCTCCTCCCCTGCAGCTGAAAACTCACTTAACACCTAACAATTGTTTTCCTAAGAAAGTAGGACAACCTGTCTTCCTTTTTGGATGGCTAAGCAGAGAGAGATCTCCAGCAGCCCATCCCAAATGAAACTAATTACAAACCCTCATTTATCTTTGATCACTTTTTACTCTCGGCACCATCCGCACCCACATACCAGTCTCCTTTCTGACACACTGAGGTAAGCCTGGCAGCTCAACAGTTCATACTTGTGCTGCAGCCTAAAGCAGTTTCCAAGGTGTCAAAAAGCACAACCCTGGAGGAAAGCAAACACCTCTTTTTCCACCTTGCAAGAACAGAAGTTTCTGAAGGACACTTATCAAAGGAACTCAGGTACCTGAACATCAGTGGTAGTGATGAAAGGTTACTCAGTGCTTTGCTTTCTGCCCAGATTTGATTTCAGTTCACTGCACAGATCAACCCCACCACAGCATGGAGCCTGGTGAGCTTCTAGGACCGGGGATGAGAATGAGGAACAGCAGTTGGGACAGAGATGTTCAGATGTAGAGTGGAGGTGGAAGAGTAATCATCACAGGCAGTTAGGTACCCAGGATTAAGTAGTGCTGCCAATGTGGATGGAGGCATGATGATCAGCCTGGGGACATTAGGAAGGGTCCCACAACAGGAATAGCAGATGTGCCTTAGCTCCCTCCTGAGCTGGAGCAGCGAGTTAAGGAACAGGCTATAACTTCAAGTCAAGTGTATTCACTGAATTAAAGAGGAAAAACCTATGAAGTGCCTGCCTGTTGTACCTGGGCCTAGCCACTGCAATGTCTCTCCTCTTTCAGACTGTGCAGTATTCTGTGGCAAGAACTGCTTCCTGGAAAAAGTGACAGTAGGGAAATAGATAGGTATATTAATTGCCCTTAATGTCAGCAGGCTTTTGTTTTTTTGAAAAAAATGGTTCATTACTCAGACTGTGTCCAGGTCTGGAGGGCAGCTGAGAGGAAGGATGTCCGTGTGATGAAGGCATTGGATTAGAATTCAGACACACAGGGTTTATTTCCTTGCTTGAGCACAGATTTTCTTTGTAACCTTGGGCAAATTACTTAATCTTTATGCCACAGCTTCTGCCTGCTCATGAGGATAAAATGCTTTCTCTGTTCAGGCTCTAAGCTTCTTAGGACTTTGTTTGGGCTCTTACTGTATATTTCTAAAGTGCTTAGCACACTTGGGTGTCGATCTCAGGGAGGCACATAAGTATTACTGTAATAAAAGAGCTAACTGTGGGCTAAACATTCTAAAACCTCTGCTTATTGACTGTTCAGGTGAATGTGGTGCGACTGTATCCACTCTCCTTTTGGGTTTCTCTGACCGTTCATGCAATCCAACTTTGCCATTTGCTGGAAGCTAATTTCCAAATAAATTTTTGAAGAAATCAGATGTAAAAGGGTCAGGCAAAAATACACACATTGCAAGTGCTTGTGTGCCTATGAAATTATGGAACAGAAACAGTGCTATATGACTTGTCTGTCCTATCACAAGTGACAAGCATAGCTCTGGATGACGTGATTAAGACTGGTTGAGAGTTTATGATTTTTTTTCAACAGAAAATGCCAATTCATCAAAACCAAAATATTTTACAAGGAAGTACTATTTTGTGATAAAGTTTTCATTGGGAAAGATTTCTCAGCTAGGGCATTGAATTTCTGACTAGAGAGAGAAGGCTGTCTCCTGGGATAACCAATCGCCTGATGTTTAGAGTACTCTCTGATTCAAAAGGGGACTTGAACTAGATCCATCACATCCTCGGAGAATGTCCTGACCACCTTGCTGTTGGTTATTCTGGACTCTGTGGTTTTTGTGAAAAACTTCAGTAAGTTTGGGTTTTGTTCTGGAAACATTGTTGAAATTTCCCGAAGTCCCTTGGGATGGGAAAACTGTTTCCTGCCCAACTCAAATTGTAACTTATCACAAAAAATATGTAAAATAATAATTTTCCCCCTGTCCTTCTTATTTGCTTAATAATGATCTTACGGAGAGTGAGAAGAAATGACTTGGTGAAATGATGCATATGCCTTGGGGACGTTATGGAAGATTATATTACCAACATAAAAAAGGAACATTGGCTAATCAGTGTCCAAATATCATTTGAAGAAACAGTTGTGATGAGTCTAAAAGATCCTGAGGCAGAGTCACTGGATAAATGTTGGGCTGAAACCAAGAGGCCAGAGATTTCTTGATTGTAGCCCTCATAAAACAATACTAACAGGAACGTGGAAAGAGTAAAGTCTCAGCAGAGAGTAAAGAAAAATTTTGAGCGATAACAAACATGGGATCATAATTACTGGTTGCTCTTGTAATAGAAATAGGTCAATACTAGGGAGTTAAGGTAGATAGACTGATAAAGGCATATACTAGGGAATAGGGATAGATAAAACATACGAACAAACAAAAACAATAGGTGAGGGTGGACGTGTTTGAAATTTAAGAATAAAAATATAGTATCTTATTCTCATAAATTCACAATGATGCATCCTTATTGGTATTATCAATGGCGCTGATATTAATGGAGCTCATGTGACATGAAAAACTAAGTAGGTGCCATGGGTCAAGTCCCAGAGAGTGCTAGATGACTAAGAGATGGACAAACCTCAAAAGTGGTAGATCTCCCTTACCTCCCCCACCATCATATACATTCTTTCTAAGGTGGTCTATCATTAGTAGGTTTCTTGAAGGATGCGTTTTTGAAAGATTTGAATGAAGAAAGGATGGTCATTTAGGGTGGTGCAAAGAGAGGGAGCTGACCATGAGTGGTCCATATTTTAGATTTGGTGGCCTTGGATCTATATTAGAATAGCTGTAACTGCAAATGGTAACATCTTTGGATAAAGAAGCAAGGAGATTCCCATGCAAGGAGGATACAGACTAGAGCCAGCATTTTCACAAATGATTCTGGTGCCTTGGAATTTGGATGTCTGGATACCCACAGCTCCATCTGAAGAAAACAGGAGAAAAGCATAGATGCTTGCTTAGCACCTCTACAATTCAGCTCAAGAGGGTCTCCAGCTGGTTGATTAGCGTCAGTAACCACTTTTGAAATGTAATCATGGGGTTGTTTAATCTGGGGAGAAGTGAGTGGATATGCAAGACAGTGAAGGGTGTGGGGTAAACAAAACCTCTGTTTTTAAATTCTGTTTCATAACATGAAAGTAAGGCAGTGTTGCATACAGTGGGGTCCTTGCTTTGGGACTGGAGAGCAGCTTTGTGCCACGTCAGTCCGATCTCTGTATTTCTCTGCCTTCAGAAGCAACTGAGTTAAATTCTAGAATTGAAAGAGATTGACTGTTTTCGCACGCACGCACGCACGCACGCACGCATGCACACACGTACGTACGTGTGTGTATGTGTATATGTGGGTTTATTAGGCTAAGGTAACCAAACAGTTTGCTTCCGAGCATAAGCGGATTATGTCAACAGTCAGAAATCCCTTCCAGGTAAAGGGCTGTGCCCATCACGCGCTAAGAGCATGATGGATTTTTTTTCATCTTCCTCTACTGTGTCAGGTATTGGTTACAGCCTTAAACAGGATTAATTCCTGTGTTCTTTTTGTTTTGCAAGAAGCTTCACATGTAAGATGACTGGGTCTGTCACTGAGCCCAAATACAATGATATACTCTGCCCTAATTTGCATAGCAAAGTAGAACTTGCCTACAAATTGAGTTTGAGAGAATAACAAGATGATGTTCATGCAGCCCAACCCATGTTAAAAATGGTAATATGAACTGAATCAGTGATGAAGCAACATGTTTCCAACCTGCATCTGCTTTACCTCATTGTTATTCTGTAACCAGCAACAAAGGGTACTTTGGCATCTGTTACTGATTCACTCTGTCCAGGGAAGGGCTGTTTTCTTGAATGGTTCAAGCACTGATTTTCTAATCAGCCGGAGAAAGGGAATGACTTATTTAATCCAAGTGAAGGCAACTCCTCTATGATAGCCCTCACGTGAGAAGCCAGGATTGAGTCTGAGCTCCTGGAATCAACTGGGTTTCTGATCCAATTTGTTTAGGATTTTATTTATTAGGGCATGAGGTTATTTTGAAAGTTTGCTTCCACTTTTTTCTTTCTTTTTTAAAGTCAGACACTGAAGAACATTTGAAGAAATGACACACTCCTCAGGCAAAGAGCTCAATGGACTGGACAACCCTGGCTTCACGGTGAGTTTGCTGCTTTAAGAAGGGCAGTGCCTGCATATCATATGTTTGAGTTCTGGAAAGGGAAGATGAACTGGCAAGGGAAGGGAGGGAGAAGTAGACCAAAGGGAGAGAAGTGGTGAATGAGAGGGGGTGCCTGAGAGTGCAAGAGTGAGACAGTGATCTTTCCTGGATCATTTTCAGACTGGAGTCTGATAAATGAATCTTTATCTCTAAATCTTGCTGGGAGTACAGTAGCAATCTGAAGGCAACTTTGCTGCTCGTTAGTTCTTTCTTACTTGTCATAAATTACAGAGAGAAAAGATAGGGACAGATGGATATAACCACATTCTCTTAAATGTATTTCTCTATTTAAAAAGGAATAACACTCTCTGCTGCTTGATTTTGTGCCCCTGGGCTTGGAGGTTTTATGTGATGATAAAAGGCTGGTAAAATCAACACTAGTGAATAAGGGAAGCTGTTTTTAATTTACCATATTTCTAAAGAGATGAATTTGACAGAAGGGGAGAAACAAAGATTTTGGGATGAGCTGGAATTTGCAGTTGGATACCAAATGCACTAGAAAACCATATGAAGTGCATACCTTTGAGGTGTCCATCAGTGATGTGTCTATCCTATTTGGACATAATGGATGGTGAGGATGGATCATCCTATGGATAAACCACAGTGCCAAGATGAAGGGGACTGCAGCCTTGCTCTCCCCAGGATGATAGAAGTACAGTCAAGAAGAGCTGCTCATATCCTGAGTAGAAGGGATTAGGGACTGGACATCTGGAGTCTGTTCTGTGCTCTGCCACCAATTGCTTGTTGGACCTTGGTAAAATAATTCAGTTCTTGGGGCCTCAGTTTCCTCATCTATAACCACCTCCCAGGAGCGTAGGAAGATAAATGTGCTAATGCTTGTAAGGGGCTCTCAGAGCCTCATAGGGAAATTGCTTATAGAAATGCTGAGTCTTATCTATGAAATATTGTATAAGGAATGTTTTTGCTACTGTTTAGTTGGTCTAATAAAAGATATTGCCTCTGACCCAAGAGCTTTGTGAGTCTTATCTTTATCATCATTATTATTGTTAATATAATTATAATCATTGTTATGCAATATGAGTATTATATTATGTCACCAAATATAAACATTATAATAATGATACTGTTCTCTTATTTACAGATTATATTTAATAATAGCTTATTATATTTAATACAATGTAGTAATTAATATAATATAAAGTAGCAGCAGCGGCAACAAAACAACAACAGCCATAATAATAATGATGATAATATGCTTTGGTTCAGTATACCCCAACCCCAGGTCAGTGCAAGCTTCTTACTTCCATGAAGTTTGAATCCTTCCTTTTCTTAATCCTCAACAGTCTGTGTTTTATTCTGTGAAGAGCCTTCTATTAATTTTGCACTGAGAACCAGGCAGGCACAGGGGTCAACATGGACATATAAGCCTGCCGGACTGATGTGACCAATAATTGTAATGCACTAGAGCTGAATCTTCTGCAGCAGGCAACCAGACAACATCATGGAGCTGTCCCTGCTCACATCCCTTGCTGCGGCGTGGTCAGGCTGAAGGGCTGTCCTGCTAAAGAGATCTCTGCTTGTTCCTTCTCCCAATGAGTGTGATTCTAGTTGACAGTGTCTCCTGCTCACTCACTCGCAAGGTTCCTGCGGAGGCTCGGGCATCAGGGTTTCATGTGATGATCATGTGAAATTGTCAGTAGTACACTCACTATGCTAGTTACCTAAGAAGAAAAGGATAAGCTTCCTTTCCTGTCAAGAAGGAAATGAGCTTATTTCTGTCCATCTAGCTGAGGGTTTTACCAACCCTTGGGGCTATTCAGAAATAGCTATTCCTGAATAATTCTTTGTGGGGGCTCTCTCAAATACTTCGTTATGCTTTCACTTCACCCATGAATTAAGCACTTTCATTCTGGAGTGTCTATGGAATGTCCACTTGGAGTTGTTGAGGAAGAGCTCTTGTGCTCTAAATTCATGTCCTGGCTGTTACTGGTAGTTTGAATCAACTTATATTTATTTGTCCTATAAATGTGTAGGTAGGCATTTTTCAGCCTGTGTTTTAAAATGTGTCAGCTAATACACTTTAAACCACATGCATTTAGATGGGATTTTGCATCTAGTGGAGACTGGCTTAACCATTAAAGATGAAGGCCTAGAAATTTGACCGTTTTATGCAAATGATGCTATTCTACATGTGCATATTCTCCAAATTATTATGCATTATTAGCTTATTTGATTTTTTTTTAAGTTGAAATTTGCCTTTATTTTTCATTCCCTTTTTTTCTTATTACAGTATCTGCTGCTGTGATGTAGTGTCCATGGATCATAAAAGTCAGTTCAATAAAATGTACAATTTTACTAGGCATTTAAATGCCTTTAAGCATCAGTGAAATGGAAGAACAAATGTAAACAGAAGTTAAATATCTGGGTTAGCGCTTTTAAAGATGTGCTTCAGTAATAGCCTGACTGGGGAAGGACATTATATGTTAGCTTCTCTAGAGCAGCTACATGGAGTGGGTAGAGCATGGAGAGTGGACACCTAGGTTAAGAAGTCAATAGGGAGATGTAGTGCTTTAGGATATGGATATCTGGACAAGTTAACATCAGGCAAAAGAAGGAAAGCCTTTATTACATGTTAGCTGTTTTGTGATAACTGCTTTCATGTGGGAACTAACCTATGGTAATTTCCCCCACTTTCATTGAGAGCTACGCTACAACAGTTTACCTTTTACTTTCCATAGGGCTAGAGCAGGGGTGGGCAAAATATGGCCTGAGAGGCCATTCTGTCTGGCCTGGGAGCACCTGGCTGCACTGTGCCAGAAACTCAGGTAAGGGAAGGTGGGGGAGGGCAGGGAAGGAGCTGGTGTGGAGCACTGGGGGGAGGGGGGAACAGCCCCGCCCCGTGGCCAGTGCTCCCTGCTGCAGCTTCTTGCAGACTGTGGGTATGTCCTGAGCAGGCACAGGCAGCCCCAGGTGGGCTGTGAGTGGCTGCAGCATGGGGCAGGGGAGGAGCTGCTTTTCTCCCCAGCACCAGCTTATAACCCGCCCCCACTGCCAGCCTGGGCCTTGCACCGGCTCCGGGCTTGCTTGTTGGGGCTGCTTCGTGGCAGCAGCAGCTGCAGCCCCCCTGCTTGCTGCGCTAGACAGTGTTGGCTGCTGCTGCCTGCCCGGAGCTCATGCGCTGGGCAGCCCAGAGGTGGTGGTGGCAAACACTGCCCGACATGGCAAGTGGGGGGCCCAGGTTGGCTGTGAGGGCAGGTTATAAGCTGGTCTTTCTGAGGGGCTGTTTTAGAAAATACAGCTCAAGTTGCAGAAGCCCCGTGTCACTGGGGCTCTCGCCACACCTTGCTCTGACCCTCCTCGCAGTTCCTTCTTCCACTGAGAGCTCCTGCTGGCCTCACACTTGGAAGGCCCACATCAAGACCTATCACTTTTGCCTGTTGGATTCTGCTGGGAAGGGCAGGTAAACTATTCTATGACCCTTCTTCTGGCCATGGATGTTCCTTGAGCTTTTCTTCCATGTCAGGAATGGTTTAAACTTAGAAATGAGGGACCATAATTGTCCCAACTGCCCAACAGACATGGAGGTGAACAAGGCCCTAACTAAGGAATACTCTCTCCTGCTTCCTACAGGTTGAAGAGGGAAGCCAGTACTGTACCTTGCCTGAACTTGGCACCAATGAGAAAAGTATTAAAGAGGAACAGAAGAAAGGCAAGGCAAAGGACCAAAGCAAACTAGCATACTGTGTCACAGATGTTCCACCATGGTACCTCTGCATCCTTCTAGGCATTCAGGTGAGACATGGAAGATTGTGGCAGAGTGAAGTGCATGAAATGTGAATTGGGTGGAATGTGAATCGGAAATTGCTTATGTTTACTAGACAACTTGTAACCATCTAGTTGGAAACTGGTGATATCAAGTCCCATGTCTCATCTCCAATAAGTTTCCTGGTTTCTGATTGTTTCCTTTTGATATGTATAAATTGCATTGTGACTATGGAGTACAAACAGGAAGACACTGTCCCAGAGCTGTACAATAGTAAGAGACAACCAGTGAGATGGTACCTGCATAATAGTTATTGGAAGTGTCTAAAGGCTGCTTGATTTCTGCAGCCTAAATACAAAGAAGGCTAAGCAGAGATGGCACAAGGAGGAAAGTGTGCAGCTTTTTCAGTTGACATGACTGTGGGCGTGTCTCCACAATTGGGAATGTGCATTTTTCCAGGGACAATATGTGCTGCTGCCTGTGCATGTGCAATCTGGTGCATGGGACGTTGCCCTGGGTGGGGTAAGGGCAGCTGGGGCCAGCACCTGGGCTGGTTCTAGCAGCCTTACCTGGGGTCCTAAGGGCCTCTGGGGCTGCAGCCACAGCAATCCGGCAGCACAGAGCCTGGCTGGCAGCCAGAGCACGGCTCCACCTGGCCAGACTCTGGTTTCCGGCAGTGCACTGCCCTGCTTTTTTAAGACACAGGTATCAAGGTGCAAATCAGGAGCATGAACGCTTGCATGTGCAGTGCATGTGATGTGCAGTGCCGCACATGAGTCTACAGCACTGCACACCGCACACCTGCGTTTCTCTGGATGCACCCAGTATATGTTAAATAAATCCCATTGTGATGATATATGCAAACTATAAGGTATGATGTCTATATGGAAAAATAGTTATGGATGGATATAATTGTTGGATGGACATTTTGTACTTTGTTTATTTCATTAATGCTATCTTGTCAGGTTAGAGTAGGCTCAAATTTGAATGCTGCAAAGCCAAGTTCATATGAAACCCATGATTCTTAGCAATGTTTCTGTTAGATCCTGACTCCATGCGGCACCCAGTGATTAGGGAGATTATGATTCAAATGCTCATGGATCCTGTTGCTCATTAGCCCGAGCAAGCAGGGAACAAACACCAGCACAAATTGCTCGCAACAGCTTTACTCAGAATGGAGACATCTTCAGACTAGCTCCCAAAAGACCAACAAACTGGGGAACTGCAATGAACAATAGTTCTTTCCACATTTATACACTTTGGTTCATGTTTATTAACATTTATTCCACCTCTTTTCCTCCTTATGTTCCACACATTTCTCCTCCTATCTTAAGCTCTGCCTCTGTTTACTTCATTAACATGCCTATGCATTTCATTCATTTACATACCCTTTTGCCATAAGCACATGTCCAAGGCCATGTACTTATTTCTTTGGTCAATGGGTGGACTTTGACCAAAACCTGGAAACTTCTGGAGGCTTCTTCACCAATCACCATTTTGCATATGTTCATTTTGGATTCTGTTACCAATTATGTGTTGTTTTTCACATTCCAGTCTGTGTCTCAGTTCTAGGTTGTACCATCTTCCACATTCCCAAAGCTTCACCTCATTCACAAGCATGCAGACTCACAGAGACTTGCTTGAAAATGGTTGACATAGTTAAGATGGTTACTTGACATAAGCAAATGGCTGGCTTAGCATAAGCATTCATAAGCAAAATCAGTTTGCCTAAGCACCTTGCAGTATTACTTTTGATATATCATTCTGCCTTGTGGTCAGCAGCTTTGGTAGGCCACAGGTCATGCCTTTTATTCAGCTGCAAATCCAGTGCTCCTCAAAAATCCAAATACAGTTTCTATCCTTTATTAATTAAAAAATCCCTATCTAGTGAAAGCAATTGTTTGGGATTTAAGAATTTTATTCATTGTTAGTAGCCCCAAAGTTAAAACATTGTACTAGTATGTGAAAATTAGAGAGTGACATTGACTAGGAACACAAATGATATTGACTAATCTGTTTTCATTATCCAAGGTGAATAAATTACTCAACAAAGCGTAATAGTTAAAAGAAATGTGGAATAGTAAGGATTCTTTTTGTGTTAATAACTTATTGAAAGTCTTTGCCCAAATATGTGCTTTAGGTTTTCTTAAACAACTTTGTCCCTCATTTAGTTATGGGCATCTATGCAAACTGGGTGTCAAACCACCATTACTGTGAATGAGAAGACAGATGTTATTTAATAGCCTTTTACAGCCGGTTTGCTATTTCCCCCCCTACCCCCGAACTGGTTTCTGGCTGTACAGAGCAGTGGGGAAGTGCAGGGGGAAGGATTTTGTAGTACAAAGTGGAATGGATAGACACTGACAATTCTAACCATACTCATAGTTTCATAGTTTGTAGGGTCGGAAGGGACCTGAGCAGATCATCAAGACTGACCCCCTGCCACGACAGGAAAGAGTACTGGGGTCAAACGATCCCAGCAAGGTGATTGTCTAGCCTTGTCTTAAAGACCCCCAGGGTAGGAGCCAGCACCACTTCGCTTGAAAGTAGGTTCCAGATCCTAGCTGCCCTGACAGTGAAGTAGTGCCTCCTGATGTCTAATCTGAATTTACCCTCTGCCAGCTTGTGACCGTTATTTCTAGTCACTCCTGGCAGTGCTCGGGGGAACAGGGACTCCCCCAATGCCTGCTGGTCCCCTCTGACTAGTTTGTAACAGGCCACTAGATCCCCCCTCAGCCTTCTCTTGTGGAGGCTGAACAGGTTCAGGTCCCGTAGCCTCTCCTCGTAGGGCCTGCCCTGCTGCCCCCTGATCATGCGAGTGGCCCTCCTCTGGACCCTCTCCAAGTTGTCTTTCAGTTGTCTTTCCTCCCTCCCTCCCTGATGGAGCTTTCCCTTGATTCTGAAGTTAGTTCCCAGTTGTTGGCCATTTGGAGCTGGGCACTGTCATTTCTACAAAGTTATGGTTTGTGGGGCATGTAAAAGCTTGAGGTTGGGCTGGGTTATTACAACTTTGACTGGTGCTTTGAAATAATGCCCACAAGACAATGAACTCTCAGAGGAAAACTGAAGTCAACAAGAATTAATGTTCCCAGCATCACTTGAGTTGTGATCTATGAGTTGCTTTTAGACTTGCCTCAGCAGCAAAGCAATGATGCTGGCCTGGTCCCAAGCCCTGTTTCATGCTACTCTTTTCTCTGTGGTTCTTAGCACTTCCTGACAGCTCTGGGTGGCCTCGTAGCCATTCCTTTGATCCTGTCCAAGGAGCTTTGCCTGCAGCATGACCTTCTGACCCAGAGCCACCTAATCAGCACCATTTTCTTTGTCTCAGGGATTTGCACACTCCTTCAAGTCTTCTTTGGAGTCAGGTAAGCAAAATCCAAGAATCAGGACACATGCAAGGCAGTTAAAGAGTGGCTTGGGGGGTGGTAATTGCTAGCTGCTCTCTAACATCAGCTGTGGTATATTTTGGTGGATGAGATTTGTATGTTAGTTTTGGCTGGTAAGGCATATTCCAGAGCACATGAAAGTCAATGGAAAATCTCCAGTGGGTGTCAGTGGGCTTGGGATGACGCTGTTAGGGAGTAGAAGATATCTTTGCGTTAATTCACCTGACCTTTATCTCTCCAGGTACCTGAGGCTTCCTTCCTTTAGGATGATTGGCTCATATGAAGCCTACTATGCAATCTGGCTAGAAGCTGATTAAATGTTAAGCTTTGCAGTAAACAATATCTGCTTCATCCTTAGCCTTGAATTCTGAGGTATATCAAGACAGGATCATTTTGGTCTGGGTCTGGCAATTTGAGCAAGGCCCAAGCAGCAGTACTGAGCCTGGGAAGACCTTAAAAGTAGGGAAGATGGTAAGACCAATTAATGCACTATTTGGGAGCTCTGGTATGAACTGTCAGAGGTTCCTCCTCATTTCCTCTGCAGGGCTTCCTGGCATAATTTGAACAGATGATCTGTGTTGCTGAGATCCATTGCATTTTAAGGGCTGATAGTGAGAGAAACGGGAAAGATTTGCATGTGCATAGTGGACAATTACCTTTCTCCATCCAGAAAATAAAGCACTCATGAGAAACCTGCCTGTTTTTCTTTTTTC